GCCCGTCTGCGGCTCCGACGGCAACACCTACCGGGACGAGTGCTCCCTGCTCCTGGCCAAGTGCCGGGGCCTGCCCGACCTGGAGGTCATGTACCAGGGGGAGTGCAAAAGTAAGCAGCCCGTCCTCTCGGCATGCCCACTAACAGGCCCACTCCGAGGCTCCTGGAGAATCGTGTTTCTAAATATGACCTCACTGGGAACCATATCAACCCTCGTCCAAAGACTAACCGTGCCTCTAACCCCAGACTGTTCTTAGTTTTATCACTAACTGTTAGCATAACCTCTACCCTAAGTCTTAACCTAACATGAACTGTACCCAGATCTCCACACTGAATCTTAAACTAACCCTGACACAGAAGCCGGACTCTAGCTTGTGTAAGTTTGTGGGTCTGGACAATCCTGGAGGCTTTTTAAGTGATAAGTAAGGGTTTATTCCATGCTGAGAAGAAAAGAGACACAACGTTTCGGCTGTGGAGCCTTGTGACACCTAAAGAAGCATGTAATATACCCTTACTTTCATTTGCAGACAACGCATGCTGAGACAGCTACCTGCTTGGCTTTTTTAAGTGTGGGTATCACATGAGCTTGGCTGATACCGTGTTTACCCTTAAACAATCTTTCCAGGAGAGTCCCAGACACCGTGTGCACGCTCACATCCATGCACGGAGCCTCCTAGATTTGTTAAAAGGGGTCTTTTTAAAAGACCTTCACTCCTTTCATACATGCTGGAAATGTGCATATATATCAGACGGAAAGCTGCACCATATTTCCAGCTTGCGTCGCGTGTGTCCCCCGAGCCTGACCGCTTTCTGAACGCCTCTCCTCCCAGAGTCCTGCTCCAACGTGGTGTGCCCGGGCACGCACACCTGCGTGACCGACCAGACGGACAGCGCCCACTGCGTGATGTGCCGCACCGCCCCCTGCCCCATGCCCATGGCCTCGGAGCCCCCCATCTGCGGCAACGATAACATCACCTACCCCAGCGCCTGCCACCTGCGCAGGGCGACGTGCTTCCTGGGCAGATCCATCGGCGTCCGCCACTATGGCCACTGCACACGTAAGCCAGCGCCTCGTGGTTAGGTCCTCCCTGAGGCGGGCTCACTGTGCCACTCTCTTGTAAGCGATGGCGAAGGACTGGGGAGCCATCTTACAAGCACGGTACAGCACATTCCTGACAGAAGCAAAGCAAGGCAAACACATTTCACATGCACACCAGTGCACGTCTGTGTGGCAGGAGTGCAGACATACAGTACACATTTAGAATAATAATTCTTTTTACTTACATAGCACTTTTCTGGACACTCTGCTCAAAGCCCTTTACAGGTCATGGGGATCCCCTCCACCACCACCAGCGTGCGCCCCCACCTGGATGAGGCTCCAGTCCGCTCCCCCACACACCAGCTCTCAGTGGGGAGGAGAGCAGAGTGATGGAGCCAGTTCAGAGATATGCAGCAGTGCATAAAAAGCTCTTTATTCTGTACTCTTATATGCAGGCTAGCTGGTTCTTGTTTTCTTGTGTTACATCATCATCAT